ATGTGGCGTGTTAGCCGGTGCTGACGTAAGCGTGCTGGCTCAGCGCTTTCGGCGGGGGCCCCCTTTCCCGAGGAGCGCAGGCACCTAAAGGAGGCGAGCAGGTTTCTAAAGAGCCTTCAGCTGTTCTCCCTTCCTCCCAGGGGAAAACGGCCGGACGCAACAGGCCGTTCCCTGCGTGTCCAGGGCTCACGTTCATCCCTTCTCCTCTGGCCACCGGCCTGCAGCCAGGGACGCAAATACCTGAGCAGTTCTGCCCCCGGGCAACGTCCGCGCTGCAGCTCCCCCCGAAGCGCTGACTTGGGACTCTGGAGATCTGCAGTCTCTTCCAAATGCCACATCAAGTTTCTCGAGCGCCTTCCTCCCAAGTCCGTCGGGCTCCCGCTGCGCATCGGCTGGGATCGTCGCTTCCTCTTCCGCCCGGTCCCTGCTGAGAGAGCCGGTTCTGCGCGGCTGCCTCTTCCCATCCGTTTGTGCAAAGGATGTTGCACAGCCCCTTCGCTGGGCTTCTAGGAGCTACCGCCGCACCATGACAAATTGCCCGCTCCGGTCCATGATACCGCAGACCGACGCCGCGTTGCTACTTGGGCGCCCAAGTTGGCTGGGGGGATGCTGAGGGGCGCTACGAGCTGGGCTGGGCTGAAACTTTGGGCTGAGCTGCGGTTTTCTGTGTGCTCCTGAGCAGCTCCCAGCGCAGGACTAGCGCCATCAGCCCCCAGGTGATGCAGGCTGGTCCTGCAGCCCCCAGCTGCCCGCCCTCGCCAGACTTGCCAGAGTTGCTGGTTTTGGTCAACTTGGTCAACCCTCAGCTCCTTGAGTCAGATGCGTAGGAGACTCCAGAGTCTCAGAGGAATACCCCGTATTTCTAGCCGCCAGGGTTACAGAGGAGACTCAGCCATCTCCTGACACCACCTCAGAGCCCCAAAAGGTGAAGGGAGGACACATGTATGTTTTGAATCTTTTAATTTTGAACGAATCTTTGGGTCCCACATCCTCATTCCCTTTCCTGGCGGACTCGACCGTCTTGTGTCCCCACAACATCTGTGAAGGTACCTCCTCAGGCGGCCGCCTGCAAAGTGGGCATCGATGAGATGGCGCGAAGCCGGGAGCCCAAGCCAGCCG